ATATACATATATATATATATATATATATATATATATATATATATATATATATATATATATATATATATATATATGTATATATATATATATATATATATATATATATATATATATATATATATATATATATATATATATATATATATATATATATATATATATATATATATATATATATATATATATATATATATATATATATATATATATATATATATATATATATATATATATATGTATATATATATATATATATATATATATATATATATATATATATATATATATATATATATATATATATATATATATATATATATATATATATATATATGTTTTTGTGTTTTTTTTAGAATATAGCTTAAGATAGTGTACTGAGTATGTACTATACTGGGAAAGACTTTTAAGATCCAAACTGAGATTAGCTGGACTAAGACGTTAGCTGAGTTAAATGTGTTTAACAGCTAGGTGTCATCAGTATAAATATAAATTTGAGATTTTTTTTAAATCAATCTTGGATACTTTGTATGTAAAGTAACTTATATATTGATTTATACTTTAAATTTTAATTTTATTGCAACATCAAATTTTTGGCTTTTTTGCGAGCATTTGCTAATTTAGACTTAGAAAACCAAGAGCTATAAGTTTTCAACAAAAGTGCCCTTAGGTAGATAGATAATATTAAAAAAGATCCAACTTCTCTCAACAAAATTTTTTAGCATTGAAATACAAAATGGGCTTATTTTAGGCTATTATTTGAAAAAAAGGGGATCTTAACAGATAACAAGGTTTATGTCATCCCTACCCAATGGACGTTTTTTTATATTTAAAAAGGAATAGGCCGGCAAAACTAAATTTCAAAAAAGAACAACAATAAAAGTGCGAACTTCCTGATTAACGCTATATTTTATTATGACTATACTATAGTAAAAAATAAATCAACGAACCATTCACGTGTTAAATGCATGTTATGTTAAATGTTATTAAATATCGATAACAATTGACTAGTAACATTATTTTTTTTAATCTTTTCTTGCAATGAAAAAGTTCATAAATTTGCGCGGCGTTCCGGAAAATCGTGTCGGATGGCTCAAATAAAAGAAGTACGAATAAATATAAATGTCAAGCTCATCATGTGCTCAAGTAGCTCTTACAATCGACAACCTGCAATAATCATTTACATAGGACCAAGTGCCCATTCACGTTTCAATTCATTAAAAATTTCCTTGCTGTTAGGATTAAATGAGTTTTCGAGGGTTCTCCCAGACAATTTTAGCTAACGAATCGTATTTTAATAAAATTTTTCGCCAACGCCTCACGCAAAGAGCATCCAGTTTCCACTTAAAAGACACGATTATGATGTAGCTCGCTTCATCGCGTTTTCCGAAAGGTCAAAAAGGTTGTCGGTTCTTTTGACAGCCGCAGGTCGTCTAAAAACTTTCAAGTACCTTTTTAGCGTTTACCGAAAACTTCGCAGATCTCAACTGGTATTTGTTGTGTGTTCGCACTTTTCCTTTCATATATTTTTGGATCAGTTCTATATTTATGTATAAGTTTTGTACTCAATTTTTTTTTTGTATTTTTCATATAATTCATATATTTAATTCAAGATTTATGATTTGTTCAGTAGAGTAGCTTTTAAGCTGAACTGTGCAAGAATTGTCTACATATATTTAATTGAAAAAAGGTTGGGTCAAAAGGTATCCATTAAGTATAGAAATCACGCTACAAATATGGTTTAAAAAATTTTGTTTTTATTTTTTATCTTAAAAAAAAAATACATAGAACAATAAAGTATTACTATTTTAAAAGCATACTTCCTGCATATTGTTTTATTTATTTTTTTATGAGTGGACGGGATTAAATTATACAAATTATAAGTAAATTTAAGGAAAAACTTATGCGATGACGTAAAAAAATATTTTTTGTACTTTTTTTGTATTTAGAAACTTTTTTGTCTCCACCAATTTTGATTGCACGCTTCCAAATAAATTGAGAAAAAACTGCTACTGTCACTAAATAGTACTAATTTAAGCAAGAATTTATTAGCTTATCATTTTAATTGTTCAATATTAAGAGTTTTAATTCAATAATTGTGAATTACATTAATACAGAAATAGCCCTTTTTTCCTTGCGTACAAAAAGAAATCCATTTAAAGCATCAACGCATGCACTTATAAAAATTGAATTTTTGTTTTGCCTTAGGTGTCGAGCTTATTTGTTCTGTTTTTATTTGTTTGTTTTAATAAAATATTTTTAAAGAAGTCGTTTAAAGTACTTTCAGAAATGTTGATAAATTATTTGTAATATATAACTATTGATAAATGCTACAAAATATAGTTGTTTGATAGTACCCAACTAAATTATTATAAATTATATATGCACATACCTTACATTTTAATTTTTGATTTGAATACTTAAGTTGCAAGTTTTTTCTTTAATTTAGTTAAAAAGAATGGTTGGGGTAGTGTAATTCAATTCCCTCAACTCATTTTAAAAAAACATGCCGAAAATTAAAATAGAAATAAATATTAAAAACAGTATTTTATTTTACCTTAAGCGTTTTTTATTTTATTTCAAACACCTTGTATATTGTGTTCGACTAAACAGATATAGAAGAAATTTATTTTCGGGGATATTGCTTTTCACACTAAACTTGTTTGGAATATAAACGAATTTAGTAAAAATTAGAATATAATGACGTTAATATTAAATGAATTGAAGTATGGATAGTACACGAGGAACCTCATTGGAAAAGGTGTTAATTATAACAAGCTGTTTTATCAAACAACAGTTTGGATAATCATAGTTCCTACAAGTTGAAAGAAACGAATGATCTGAAAAAAGTTTTATGAAACTTCTTGTAGAACTGGGTTATGCCGCACAAAATTTCGAGTTTCACCGCATGGAGAACAATAAATGTTTCTCAATTTTATTCTAAGCCGCTTGATTCCACTTGGAAAGTTTCCCGTTAACTAAAAATTAGGATTTAAGGACTGCAGTCGACAATGCGCGAGAAAACGCAGATAATTTTCATTCATGAACCACCTACCACAATAAAGCTACCACTTTAATTAAAGTTTCTAATCCTGATTCATGACGAGCGATATTTTGAATACGTTGGCGAGATAAAATAGGTTAAGACAATAAACGGTGGTTAAGCTTGCGCTCATAAAAATCATTACTTACATGGCGCTGCTCGCTCGCCTATGGAAGAGTTTGAAAGCGCTGACATCTCTCGGCGGTTTGCTTCGGAAACTTGTCACGCAGACGCTTTTTGAACGATCGCGCACCGCTGCGTCCTCGTTGGGTCTCTCACCACGTAAACGCTGAACCAAACGCATGTCCAGGCACAGCATTACGCGTCAGCGTTCACAATCGCTGCGCACATCAAGCGCGCACACACGGTAAAACGGATATTCTGTTTGTGATATTATTTAATAATCTGCTGGAATATTGTCACGGGTCAGCAACTGTTTGTATTTTTTTATTGTCAATTTCAACCCGATGAAGTTGGCATATAAAGTTTATGATGGTTTCTGATTAAAAATTATACAATACAATATGCAAAGTACTGTATCTCGGAAACAAATCGTTACGAAGATTTGCGGGAAAAAATGTATTACCAAATTGGTAAAAAAAAACCCGTGGAAAATATTTTCAAATTTCCAAGGTGGTCGTCAAGGGGAAATCACCATTTTAAAATTTTAAAGAAAATTTTTAGTTTTTTCAAAATATAATTGGTAAAATTCGCACTTGCAAATTAATTAATTCGCCCGTATACTTTCGTGAACCAAGAATGTTTTTGCTATTTGAATTTTCAGAATAAATCATGAAAAAGGGCAAATAAATACCGGTGTACTTGCGTCTATGTAAGGTTTTAGAATTAAGAATAGTAATAAGATATCCGGATAAGGTATAGAATATCCTATTGAGGTGTCATTATACTACAAGCAGTAAAAGATTTTTCTAACGAGTCTGAATTTATTAAAATCCATTGAGTCATATAGAAGTTACAACTTTTTATTTAAAAAAACATTAAATTACCCCCACCACGTGGTTTTAATTGACGCGTAAAAAAGTGTTAAACAAAAATTACGTATATATTTACAAATTATATTTTGGTTAGTTTAGTTAGGTTAGATGCTGATTTCCCCTTGATGACCATCTTGAAAACTTGAAAATATTGCCAAGGTCTTTTTTCACCAATTTTTCCTGCAATTCTTGATGGCAAATACTTGCACATGAATTCATGAATTTTAATTTTATCCACTGCGTTCTTGTAAATATTTTTCAAATTTATAATTTTTAACCAGATAGCAGCATAAAGTTCATATGACAGCTTGTTGGAATTAACAATAAAAAAATACAAATTGAGCGAATTCTGCAAAAAAAGAGCCTGCATGAGGAGTTCTTGTGGGAATATTTTTTAAGTATGGCCGATGCGGGCTTTGCGGAGAGGTTTTGTGTAATAGTGGTGTTATTATTTGCTTGTGCTTCTATAAAATATTTATTCCTTGAGGCATTTTATTTATTCATTCAATAGATTGAAATAGATTTAACAATATAATAAATAAGTAATTTACTTTATTATAATATTCAGATCTATGAAGTTTTTTTTTGCAATATTTAAGTGAAATATTTGTTAAACTTCGGCAATACAGTGACACTATTCGTTTTTTTTTTTTCTAAATTATTTTCGTCATTGGTAATCGTTATTACTTCGGATATGGATTGAAAAATCTTGTGCTTCTGATAACAGCAGGGGAGTAAATTTAATTTATCTAATAGGTAGTTTCAAATGGGATTTAGGTGGACCAATATTTTGTTGATTATTGACCACACTACATTTATGAATTATATTTTGGTCAGTTAGTGCCTCATCTCCAATAATTTTTGAACATTAATAATAGCAACACATAATTGAATAAATTGAAAAATTATGAGACTGAGCTTACAAAAAATGTGTAGAGTCATAACAAGCGCAACAAAAATCGAGATTGTTTCCAAGAAAGTTTTTCCAAACTGAAAGTGAAAACTAAATGGCATTTTAAGTAGATTAATCGCAAAAAGCAGGAAAACTATAGAAGAACTTCAAAATTGGTGAAAATAAGGAACGGCATTTACATGATACTCAAAAACGCATATCTGTTTGCTCATATATATTAGATATAGAAATCGCTAGTACGTGACGACATTGAAACCATAAAACGTTAACAAATGTATCTGATTTAAGGATTGTGCTTTAAACCCCTTCAGGACGAGTAAAGTCGCATGTTGAACATATATTTACGTCTAAACATTACATTTCGGCGACAATTTGCGTCACAGAACTCTGCCTCTCTCTGTTTACTCTATATTTTTCTAACTCACGGATCGGAGAATATCTTAAACGGTGTTTTTTCTTACTTTATGTGCGGCGATGAGTGAGCGAATGAGATTAATACAACCCCCATTTAGTACGTTGTTCGAAAATAAAATTAAAGGATCCATGTTTCCGTTTTCCGCATGGGAGGAAAAGCGTCAACAAAGCCTTTTAATTGTTGTTTCTGCAAACAGGGCTTAATGAAACAAACGGCCATGGAAAAACAAAAAATGTAGTCGCAAGCAAAAAAAAAAACGCATATACATTCCGTTTTTATTTTAAAATTGGGGTACCGTCTAAACTGGAGCAAGAAACAACTTGTAAAGAAAATGGTCGAAACCAGCGGCGTTTAAAAAAGGGTTCATAAAATTAGAAAGAAAAAAGTTTAGAATGCTAACCAAAATTATATTAGTGGAAAATGAAAGTTTCCCAATGAAATTGTTGGAGCAGCTAGAAAAACGGTACCTGAAAATGAAGGTAATAAATATTTGTGAACATGTTTCATTGAATTATTTACCAAAAAAATTACAAAAGCTAAAATTTAACGCTGAAAGCGTATTCAAAATATCAACGATATCAATACAAGCAATATTTTAAATTAACGGCGCTCATGAAGAACAGACCCTATCATATAAAGCGTAAAAATCGAGATTATTAAATAAAATGGATATGGATAAACTGTCAGTAGAAGCACCAAATGAACACTTTTTTTATGACCAAAGTTTTGCTTATGATGGGTTGCACTAGAGCACGATGAGGAGACGAAATTACTAATATATACTTAATAAACAGACAAACAAGGTATACTTTTGGTTAGCATTCCAAACCCCAAAACAAGATTTATATACAAGGTACATGGGCTCACGCAATCCAATAATCAAAAATGTAGTCAACAATCCGTAGGCATACATAACCAGGCAAGCAATTCAAACACAGACATTACGTTATCATAAATTAAAATAATGTTTATATCTTTTAGTAAAGAGTCATTTCACATTATTGGAAAATGTAAAAAATTGCTAATAAATACTTCTCATAAAAATTTAATAACTGAGAAAAATTGTAAGTAACACGACCCGAAAGTGTTTTTACCATCTAACGTCTATTACTTGTATAGTACACCAATAAGCAATCGTGTGTTGAGTACTACATTTAGTTTATGTTATCCATTGTATTTACGATATTTACGACCTATAATCGTCATAGGAACATTATTGTTTCCCCTAATGAACAAATTTTCATGGGCGGGGGAAAAAATCGAGTCGGGGGTAGATCGCTATCTTTGACGCAGACCGACGTAATCTAAATTTAATATGTCAGCCGTGGATGTTAAGGGTGGAAAAATCGCGATAAACGAACTTTCGAGGAGTTCAACGCACGTGCCCGATAAGTGGGCCTGTTGTGATCGTGGTCCTGACACGCCGATGATTGTCCACCAAATTATATCTGGCTAATTTCCTGCACGATTTCAATCTTCGGTGATAATTCAAGCAATTGTGTGTGCTAATATAATATAAAAAAGGCGTGGGACTATACCACCGATAAACGCAAAAGAAAGCGGATATAATAGATCCAAATCGTCTATAGTTTTAAGACGTATTTTTTTATGTTGACAATTTTCTCTAACAAAATACATCAAAAAATATTTTTGATTTGATAAATATATTTGTGGTTTGATAAATTTGTTGAATTTCCTCCGCCAGACAGCATTCTGTAAAGTCTAATTTTTTCGTTTATTTATCGTGGAATATACGATTTTTTTACTGCCTTGCATCTTGCATCACTTGAAACCTTGACACATCACATATTTTTGTCGAATAAAAAATTTAAACTTAAGAAATTAGTACTTGATAATAATTAAAATCTCCTAATAAAAATAACTATCTAATCTGCCTTCGAAGGCAGATCAGTTGATTTTAAAGCAAAGCAAACCTATAGGCGTTTATGTCATAGTATTTAATGGTCGCCTGACAACACACATGTACACTTTTATGTTTAAATCTACCTTTTAATTTCGGTACACAAATGCGGCTTTTGAAACCATACACACGTAAGTGTCTATTTTTCAAATAACCTATCCCTCTATGCGCATATCAAAGCGATGTTGCCTTTCCATGCAAAAAAAAATGCTTATTCCAGGCAAATGCTTTTTATCTTTATGCTTTTGACTTGTTTTCCGCTTGAGTGAAAAAAATACCGTACAAATTCGCTACTATATACATACACTAGCTTATACTTTTGGATTGAACAAAACGCGTATTTATATGCAAAATGTGGGTGTCTGCCTATTCATTCATGAAAGAAGCATAGTCATTCGCCCTGTAAAACTAAAAATAAAATCAAATGAATTTATAACCACGGTGGCTGTTGTTTGCTTGCTGCAATGTGATATTTAAATAATGTAACGGGAATATTGGACGTTTATTTGGGCCAAGAAATCTTTCACGAACGAGGCAGCTTTTCGATAATTCCTTAGCTTTTGGTTAGTTTTAGTTAGGCAACATCATAAAATTGCGCCATTATAAATAGCTCATTGCTTAACTTAACTGTTTAATTTTTACTCCGACTTTTAACAATTATTGGCAACGTCTATTGCTATTACTTATTTTATCAGTGGATAACTAGGTTGTGCTAGAGTGGTGGAAGTTCAACATCATTGTCAAAGTGCCAATCTTTTATTTCGATACAAGAAAAATATACCAGCTGCTTCACGACGACTGACCTATTAGAATTTGTCGAACTGTTTAACGGTTAAGCCAAAGCGATGCTTTATATCTTGTAAACGTAAACGTTTTAAAAATGTAACCCGTATTTTTGGGAAAGCAATATTTTATGATATTATGAAAAATGAACGAACGGAGAGAAAATTTATACTTAATTCGAAAAAATATATTTTTTTTAAGTTAGTGCTAAATTAGCGTCCTAGCATAATACTGTCATATTTCAATATTATTAATAAGAGGAAGATTTTTTTCAACTGTGTCTATCTATTTTTAAATACCTAAACATCCTGTCAATAGGAAAATCTTAGTTTAATTGTGGCAAAAATAAGATTTCTACCAAAATTCTCACATTGACGATTA